TAACATGCAAAGAACGAGCAGATGGGAGGCCTGGTTATTTTTTCCTAATATTTTCAAGTTTCTGCTTGATAGTAGAAATAACCAAGTAACTGATCTTTAGGGTCTCACTCCAAAGTGTGAAGACACAGCAGTTGGGATCAGCTGGGTGTGTTAGATTTCCTTGTGATGCATTTTCCCTTTTTCAAACCACACATGTTGATGGTGTGGTAGAGAGAAAGAAATGGGATTTTACTTAATAAATACAGATTTAACATTATTATGATGTTATTATCATTATCCACTGCAATAAGATTTGGCCACAAGTTGAAGTCCTCACATTTGCTCAGCATTCTATAGTTCATAAAATGTTTTCGCAAACTTTGTCTTGCCTGATTCTCACAACACCCCTGTGGGGTGGTTATTATCTCCAATCAAGGTTTGTTTATGATCTGACCCCAAATTACTTTTATTACTGTACTTCCTATTTCTTCTCTTTATATGCACTTCATTCAGACTTGTTTAACCAAACTGATGCAACTACTGTTCTTAAATGTTAACCATAGAAAAGAGGCGCCATTACCTCTTTTCCCCTGAGTTCTATCATCAGTAAAAACAGAAAGTAGTAATGCTCCATCTCTCAAAGTGTTGTTCTAAATGTTAAACATGATAAAAAGTAAGGTGCCAAAAACATCGTTCCAAGCACACTGTAGATGCTTAACAAATGTTAACACCCTTTCCTTCTAAAGGTCTTCACTTCGACAGCCCCAAGATTAAAATGTCCAAAGCTGAATAGATATTGTATACACCAATTTCACACCCAAAACTAGTCCCTTCCCCAAATTCCCTGCTTTGGTTAATGACACAACCAGGTCTCCAGAAGCATAATTAAGAAAAGTTCTGGGCTCCACTTTCTCTCTCTGCCCCCCACATCCAGTCGGTCACCAAGACCTGACACTGTCTACCTCCTCATGACTTCCCAAAGCCGTCCTCTTCTCCTAACCCTTCCAGCCACACTCCGAGGTCAGGCTCTCATCTATTTTTGCCTGTACCTTCCCAGGACTTGTTCTCCCTGTTTCCTCTCCTGAAGGCTAGCCAGTCCGGTCTCCTCGCTGCAGCCAGGGTGATCTTTCCAAATGGTAAAGTGGATTATGCTTTTCCTCTTATTGTAATTCCCCAATGACTCCCCACTACTGTCAAAAGGAAATCCAAGTTTCTTTGCATAACAGGAGCTCCTTCATGAGTTGGTCTACCAGCAGCCTCTCCGTGCATCTTTTCCACCTCCCCTTCTCGCTGCAGCCACTTGAAACAAAGGGCAGCTGCCTCAGCACTCTGGAGCCCTTACAGGTTCTGTGCTGTCTTCCTGCGGATCCTTCCCCTGTCCTAGTCTCTGCTTCCTGAAGAGTTACTGGGCTTCAGGACTCTAAATAGTATCTCCTCTGTGAAAGCTTCTCTGAGACTCTGGGACAACATTAATTGCCCTCTCCTCCTTCTCCTCCATACTGCTACACTTCTCATTCAAACTGTTTTTGCACTGTACCACCACACCACAATGAGTTATTTATATGGCTATCTCCTGCACTACAGCACAGGGTGGGGTTCTAAGACGTATTTCTCAGGCAATATTTATTGACTCTATTGAGTATATTATTATGAGTATGTGCTTGGTCTTATTCTTGGGTGCTGAGATTCAGCAGGGAAACATACAGATAAAAGCCCTGCCATCAAGTTGCTTTCATTTTACAGGGAATATGCTGATCATCACAATAATAATGGTTATTATGGGCATTGCTGATAATAGCTAACATGTTCATAGTACTTACATGTCAGGCACTTTACTGAAGACTTTACACGCATTAATTTATTTACTCCACCTATTGATCCTATAAGGTAAATAGATGTATTATTTCCATTTTATAGATGATGAATTGGAGGCCCAGAGAGGTTAAACAACTTGTCTAATGTCACACAGCTAGTAAGTGGGATTGCTGGTATTCTAACCAAGTTTAGATCCTGAGCCTATATTCTTTATTACTATAGTATCCAGAAAAATATGCAAACAAATAAATAAAAGATACAATTTCAGGTATGATAATGAAGAAGATAAAATAAGGAACTGTAGGGGAAAGTGACTGAGGTAGTAATCAGGGAAGGCTCTTAGAGGAGGTAACATTTAAATTGAGACATGATTTGTCAGTTGAGACAGGTGGAAATTCCAGAGTAGGGTTGAATCCAGGGATCTAAAGAGGAGAAATTGTTTACTCTATATAACCCAGGCTCTACCTGCTGTGATGGCCACCCTCACTGCTGGAGGTACCAGACCTGGACCTAAGTGGTCTTGGGAATGACAAATAGTCCACATGTTTCAAACCAGTCCACTTGCCCATCCTGTTCTTTTGGGTTAAGACATATCTCACGAGGTGTCTGTTTTGCTGCTCTTGACAAGGGTAGAAGGCGTGGACACACACACACACACACACACACACACACACACACACGTGCCCCTGCTTTGCTGAACCGCTTTATTTCACTTCTTTCCTGTGAATGACATGTCACTCAGAACCTCGGTGAAGTGACAGGCACAGGCACAGCAAAAAAGGCTGGAGACAACCCAGAGGCATGAGCAAAAGGGGAAAATAAAATTATTTTTTAACAAGATGAAAAGCGAATTGGACTGGCGGGAGAAATGGGAATTTGATCAAGGAGGGGCATGCAAAGAAGATGCTTCTGAGATGCTGGCAATGTTCTGCTGCTTGACCTGGGTGGCAGTTTGCTCTATAATTTTACATATGCACACACAAGCACACACCACATATGAGTATATACACATACATACATTTATATCTTTTCTATGAATATTTCTCATAATGAAAGGTTAAAGAAATGAAAACTTGGGTGGGGCAAGTTTATAGATATTTAATATACATCTAAAGCCTATTTTATAAAAATTGCACTAGGCTCATTTTTAATTATATTATCTCATTTAATTTTTATTACAACCTTATGAAGTAAGTATCATCCCTGCTTTATGGACTGAAACTGAGAAAGGCAAAGCACAGAGGAAGGGACATTCAGACTCAGGGCTCTTGCCCCTGCACCATGCCCCCTGCCTTCCATCCTGGGAAGCTCCGAGAGTCAGCCAGGTGGTGAGCAAAGGCCCCTGCCTTCTGGGTCAGACAAACTCGGGCTTCAATCTAGTCTTGGTTACTTGCCAGCTGTGGCCTTTTCTACCTTATATAACCTCTATGAGCCTCAGTATCCCTACCTAGTAAAATGGAGATGATAACACTTTATCTCACACACAAAATATGAGTAGACTAAAGACAATAATTGAAAAATATCAGCAAAGTACCTGCCACATAATGGACATCCAGAAAATGGTAGCTGCTGCTTTTGTGCCTCTATGTATAAAGCTAGAAAGATGCTGACTTCCATGGAGAGCAATAATGGGATTTAGCAATGGTCAGTGACAGTCAGGTAGTAGCTGCAGTATATGCTGTTAGAGGCCAGCAAATCAGGAACTTCCTGGGAGTAATTACCATATGCCATGCACCACGCTAAGCACTTTTCAGGCATTGTCTCATTTAATCATTTACCCCTCTGAAATAGGTTGATATCTTCTGTTTATAGATGAAGAATTAAAGTATGGAGAGATTAAATAACAAACCCAAGGTCACACAGCTTGGACACGGCAGAACTCAAATTTGAACCCAGTACTTTGATATACCAAAGCCCATGCTCTTCAACACTGGGCTTTGCAATGTGGCCACTGTCTTAGGTCATGTCCAGGTGAAAGGGCACCTTTGTGGTCAAGATAAGGAAGGGTAGCTCCTCTGAGGTCAGAGCTAAATAGGCCAGGAGTGGGTAGGAAACATTGTTAGAGCCTCAAGAGATTTCTAGGAGCAAGCCAAAGTGGTTGGTGCACGTTCAAAAATGCTGCAGTTTCTAGTGCAGTGCCTTACACGTACTGGGTACTCTTATGACGTGTGGGCTGAATATTTCAAGTGCTTCCATTTCTAAATACAGGTGTGCTCTATTTTCAAAAGAGCAGCTTTCAAAACAAATAAAATGAGAGTCAAGTGTCCTCAAACTTGGAGGAAAAGGTTTCCCTGAATTATACAAGAATATATATACTCACAGGGTTTTTTTAACCTTTCAAAAAAAGCAGTAGAAGACTTTAATCAATACACCCTTACCTAGAAGTCCAATGTATATATAGCAGGTAAAAGTGAGCCTCTCTAGTTGGAGCAGACCAAGGGTCTGGAGCTCCTCCACCTGTCACTTTCCTCACCCACAAGAGATCCCTGAGGCACCTCCTTGGAACCTAAAGGCTGTTCAAACACATTAAAAACCACCACACTATGGACATCCTTTAAAAAAGCAGGACTTGTGATTCATTTAAAATAACCTGCTAAAATTGAGTTTAAAATATAGGATTTTCACCAACCAGTACACATCTGTGAAGTTCAGGGAGTCTGGGACAAATTACTGTTTTTCTCGATGACTGGAAATGCATGAAGTTTAATGTCTATGAATAAAGGCCTGCTGGGTGCCAGGCCCCGCACTGGACCCTGAATGTACTAGCTGCAAGATCTCATTCATTCCCAACCACTCCCTATGAAGTAGCTATTCTTACTACCATTTTGAAGATGAGAAAATTTAGGCACAGAGAGGTTATGTCAATTATCCAAGATCTCACTGCTGAGCAGTGGAGCTGGGATTCGAACCCACGCCATGGCACGAATTAGAGAGCCAGAGTTTTGCCGCCGATCGCCGTAATCTCGTCTCTTTCAAAGCTTCTTACTTTTCCCCAATGCCCCTCAGTTGTGACATTTAAAGAAACAAACAAAAAACCTCTATGGACACCCAGCCTTCAAGACCTCTGTCTTCCCATTCAGGTCTCCCAGAACCAAGACCGTGGTCCTCCCCCACGGCTCCTCCTCCTCCCCCCCAGCCTCAGGGATGGCCTGTCCGTCAGGTCCAGCCCAGCGGCAGGGGGAGCTAGCGACTGCTCTGTGCCTCACTCTCGGGCCTGGCGCAGCATCCTGGGCACGAGGCTGCCGGCCCGGCGTAGTCTGGTGGCCTGGGGATGGGGCTTCCTGGAAGCGGCTGGGCTGGGGCTGCAGAGGGAGGTCCTCGGGATCCCTTGAGGTATAGAAACGCTTAAGCTCTCGGTAAGGACTGCGGGGGCAGTTCATTTCTGCCTCCCCCTCGCCCGGTGTGCAGCCTTTCAGTGTACTAGAAATGTCGCGCGGGGGGCGCAGGGGCAGGTGGATGAGCCGTGTCGTGGCGGGTGATGGGGTCCTCGGAGGCGACCAGCAGGCGCCTTGTCTCTTCCCGCAGTCTTCGCCATTTGGGATTTGAGACCCGAGGGATACCAGAGCAAGGTCAGCATCCTCCTGAAGCCTCGGGGCACTGGAGACCCCTAGAGGCAACAGGCTGTGTTACAAGCCCCCCAGCCGCGGAGGCGCAGGCGAGACTCTTGCCTGGAAGTTGCTGACGCGTGGCTGGTACGTACCCCCCCTTGACCGTAAGTACACTCCTAGGGCAGGCTGGAAAGGGACAGCAGGGGACCTTCGTGTGCGTGTGTGTAGAGGAGTGGGGAGGGACAGTTGCATTTGCAGAAGCAATCCTGTCAGGAACCGAGCTGGCTAGCCCTGGTGCTGGTCCCTCCCTGCCTGATCCCCCCGCTGCCGGCACCTCCCTCATCCCCCGCAGCGACCCCGAGGCCGCCCTCCTTGGCAACACCCCACAACCTCCATCAAGACGATGTCGATGTCTTTCCCTCCGGAACCTTCACACCTCTCAGTAACCTGATCGACTAATTTGTGCTGAAGTATTAATGACTAATAATAATTTAATGTGCTGCCCTCCCAATTAACACTCGAGCATTTCGAAAGAGAAATTCACAGATTTTAACCCAAGTAAGAAACTGTTGTTTTTTTTTTCCTTTTGAGAGGAATCCTACGCCCCTCAAAACGAACCATACAGACAGCTGCCTATTCCGGATACATGCTGCGTCTCTCCTGGTGTTAGCAATATTTGGAGACAGTATACAAAGCTCAAGCAGAATTTCCCAAAGAAGGCCTGCTCTAATCCACAATTCTTAGAGATAACACCCATTTAACCTTAATGAAGACAAAAAAAAAAAAAAAAACTGGAATGCAAAAGTTGACATAAATGCTGATTTTTCAATATCACGTCTCTAGAAGTCTAATGGGTTTTCATTCACACATGAGACGACCTAGTCATTGAGAGAATAGGCTCGGGGATGATCACTTGGGTTCAAGTCTTTGGCAAGCTCTGCTATGTACTAGCTATGTGATCTTGCCAACTTACTTTACTAGGTAAGCCTCAGTGCCCACACCTGTAAGTGGACAGAGTAAAACTCACAACACAGGATCATTCTGAGTATGAAATGAAATAATGCAGGATTCGCACCTACCATAACACCTGGTTTGTAGAAAGTGTTCAACAAATGGCAGTTCTTTTTCTTATTTTTATTATTTTTGTCCTATCTCAAACTTTCAGTTCAGGGCAGCATGCAAATCCTGTATTTATTTATTATTTAAAAGCATGTGAAGCAATCCAGCCTCCTAGGTGTGGTTGGTTTGGTAATGAACTAGATTTCTTTCCAGGTAACAGCATTGTGAGAGATTTTTTTCCCCTCTGCTTGGTTTCTTTAAATGTATCTACAAATGCATCAAGTGAAATAGATTTGGCAGTAACTTAAAAAGACTTAATGCATTTTGGAAAGAAAAAAAAAGCCACACAAAAACTGGTTTGTTTTTGTGATATATGGTTCATGTGATATGACAAAAATCCATTTCTATGCTTAGGAAAATTGGCTAATTTTAAAACAGTTGACACATGCCATATGCATATAGAGTAATGATAGATTTTGCTCAGACAAACAAGAACACAGGGCCAGCAATATCTCTGTTAGGGCTTAAGTCAGTGAAATTCTCATTTGATAGCAGACCCCACATAAGAGAGGGGAGTGAACCAGAAAATGGACTTATGATGGCCTCAGTTGCTGGAGTCAGGTATTTGATTATAAAGATACCAACTACCAAGCTTGGGACACAGACACCAGGTTTTCATGAAATGAATGAGGAGAGACTTAGGAACCTACCAATGTAGTAAACCTTATGTGCAAGAAAGGAAATCATTTATAAAGATACTGTCTGGATAAAAGGTGTGAATGGTGCAAAGGATACTGAATTGGTGAGCCACCCTGATTTGGGGTGACTGCTCAACTTTGCCTGGTCATTTCTCCTGTCGTAACATGGATAATTTTTGGACTTCAGATACTGCTTTTAATTGCCTTGGGATCCCATTGGCTTACAGTTCTGCATAAATCACACTGAGAGGGAAATCCTACATATTTTCAATTACTTGTATCTAGGGCAAAGAGGTTACATATGAAAATAAGATGTTACAGAGATTTCACATGAAATAAGTGACTATGGAAAGTTTAAAACAGACATAAGCGCTCTATTATCCTGCTGTCCTTTCTGCAGATACCTTCCACTTTCGGCCCCCAGTCCATGCCAACCAGATACCCAGCCCCTTCCAGGCTGATGGTATGCAATCTCCTTGACTCAAAAAAGCATGTGGCTTTTTATTTTATTTTATTTTTATTTCTTTCAAAGCACGATTTAATTAGTGACTGCAGAGGGGAAAAGCTGAACAGCTCAGAGGAGGTTTATGGTTGGGTCTGCAGGACTCAGCAGTTTGACATTCTAATCTTGTTATTTCTCACCTTAAACCAAACAGAGTCAGCAAGGTTGGGCTTTTTTTTTTCTTCTTCCCATAATTTATTTAGTTATTAGTTTTCCCCTCCCCTTACTTCTCATTCTCATCCTTTGCATTATTCAACTTTTTTGTCCAGTTCCTTAGTTCCCTTTTCCCCCAGGATATCATAAAACAAACAAACAAAACCAACATTTTGGTGGTTCATATGTGACTGAGCCATCTAGAAGAGAATTTCTTCCTCTCTCTTCTTTGGTTCCCAGAATGAACCCCCTGTCTCCCATGTGAACTTGACTACTAAGGTGACTGCAGCCACGGTCCTACAGGGATGCTGAGTCAAGAGGCTGAGCAGTGTGCCTGGATCCTGATTAATCATAGACTATAAACACCTTGAAGGCAGGGGCTAAATCTTATTTACTATTGTATCCCTAGCTGCTTGGCACAATACCTAGCATAGGGAAGACTTTTATGTTTATGCAATTAAAAACAAAATCAAAAAGCAAAAACCTCACCATCTATCACCTCACACCCATTTTTCATTAAAATATGGGTGACTGGAAAGTTAACAAGCATTCTTCCTATTAAGGATATTTTGTATTCAGGATTTTAAATTTATAAGAATTGCAAAATTTAGGAAGTGTTTCCTTTAAGGCAGTGGTTCTCAAAATTTAATTTGCACCTGGGGAGCTTGTTAAAATGCAGAATCTTCAGCCCCTCCTCCAGAGAATCTGATTCTGTAGCTCTCGTGTGAGGTTCAGAAAACTGCATTTTAACAAGCAGATGACGTAAAGACCACACTTTGAGAAATACCTTTTTATGGCAATCCAAATGAAATGTGGCCCATTCAGTTTGGTAGAATATTAGTGTTCCTTAAGTGGTTAATGGGTGTCATGTAGGAAAAAAGGTTCTGTGATTAGAAAAGATGGGGCACATAGTATTCTCCCCCCACCCCTTACACCTACCCCTCATATGCCCTCAGAGGTTTATAATGCACTGAGCATATTAGAGGGTCTGGAAAGTTCTGGAATGAAGAAACATGTTTTAATAAACAGTTAAACATGGCCAAATATTTCCAACATATCTTGACCTTAAAACTCGTATTTATTTTATTTTAAATCATTGCCAAACACCTGTCAATTTGGCATGTAAAGCACTGCTGTAAGGGAGTGGGCAGCACCTATAGGGCAAGGGTGATATTGCACCCCAGCTATAGGGGGTACTTCAAAAAGTTCGTGGAAAAATAGAATTGAAGGGTGATACGAATCTTATCATGAACTAAGTACCCTCATATTACTCCTATTAAATTTCCAAAGGAGAAAATGAACAGAGTGTGAAGTTGGGAGAATCACTAACCACAGTGGGTGTTTTAAGGTCTGTAAAAGTATTTGTTAAAACAGTCATCGTTTATTAAACATTTCATATTTCCCAGGCACTCTTCTGTGCTTTTAATGTGTATGAACTAATTTAATTCTAACAACCGTGTGAGTCAGACACTTCCTATCCCCATTTCACTGAGGGGGAAACTGAGATACTGAAAGACTAATAATTTGCTGAAGATCACAGAGTTAGGAAGTGGCAGAGTGGGATTTGAACCCAGACAGTCTGACTCCAGAGCCTGCCCTGGTAACTGCTCTCTCAGCCTCTCCTCCAGTAGCGAGGTTTTGGAAATTACTGCCAGGGAGGAATGACAGCCTGCTCAGGAGCCAGGCTGCCTCAGTGCCCCAGAATACTCTTGTGTACTCGAGGGCCTGTGATCGTTGCTCTTTATTCATAAGAGAATTTATTATAATGATCACCTGAACCTTTGAAAGATTTGCTGTACTTAAACACAAAATATGCTTAGCAAAACAACCTGACAAGGATAATTCATGGATAGCAATTAGGTGCAGAATCCTGTGCCTACCAAGTCCCAGATTGGGTTGAAGATCTGGCCATCCTGCTGACACCTTGCTTTGGAACACAGTAGCCTTACTCTTGCCACTTGATTCCATTCTCAACCTTGTCATTGCTCCTGAGCAAGAGAGGTATCCCTGAAGGGGCAAGCCGAGCTGGGTGACACAGTTCCAATTTTGGCTTTTGGCAAGTTACTTCACCTCGTAGGCCCTCAGTTTCTTAATCTTAATACAAAAAATGAGGGTAGGAGAGATGACTGATACCTACGTTGTTGTAAGCCACATAGATTTGGCACAGGGGAGGTGTTTGGCTTCTTGTGTTGTTAGGGTCTGGGAGTGAGACCATTCCTTGTCTGTACTTTGAAAGGTGTTAATGTAGAGGTAATGGAGGTTGAAGTTATGGCCCTGGGGAGTGAGAAGAAATTGAGAAAGATACATCTTGGCTTCTAGATCCTGGATCTCTTCTAAAATTCATGTAGATGTGGGTCACCAGGGCTAATGATCCAACCAGGATTCCTGGTTACTTTAATGTCCTCCATTGTAAAAATATG